GCGGGTGGCATGTTTGAAAACACTACGTCGGTAAATAATTATCAATTTTTATCGAAACATAAAAAAAAAATTAAAAAGCAGGAAATGAATGAAAATACAATTTTGAAACATCAATATTTTCAGAAAAATAAATTTACAAAATGGCTATAGTGATTTTTTTTTAAAATAATGAAATAAAAAAATATATTTTTTTACTTTTATACCAAAACATTAAAATAAATTCAAATATGAGATAATTGCAGTTATCATCTCTGTGAGTCTTATTAATACAAAATCAGAATTTCGATATTTCCATTAATTCGGGAGATACCGCAATGGGTAAATCTTCGCGGGACACTCTGTATAATATCCATCAATCTATCATATTAAAATACCTTCTAATTTCTATCAAATAGTCAATAGATGTATAAAATATAAATAAGCCATTTATACTTTAAAAACATTAAAATAGTATTCTCATTCCTTAGATATTATATTTACACTAATTATGTGGCAGGTCAAAGGTACCAATAAAATCATCTATATGCAAGATTTCAATATTATATACTGTGTAATTCATACATTTGTTTCAATACAATATAACAAGACACTGCAATACATAATGGTAACAAATCATCATTTAATCACAGAAMACAGTAATGAATTTTTGAAAGAAAAAAAGTTACAACATGACATGTCATCATCGTTGCACGTGTTTCGTTTATGACTCAAAACAGTTACCRTGAGAATGAATTTTATGTTGAGACAATATGTGATCCGGTGCGCAAAATATGCGTATCACATACGCGTGTACCAAAACAATATTTAGACCGTTGGTGAACCAAACTTTTTTTCTTTACTTTACTTTAATGGATATACGGATACGGTATACTTAAATCATTATTGTGTTCTATACGGCTGTAATGAGTTTTTTTAAATACAATATTTTTCCTCTGCCCCTGTTGCGCATTTATAATAATATTATAATAAATAATAATATAATACTGTACATTACATGCTATATATACATGTATAATAATACGTACTATATGTATATAGTGTATACACGGTGAACCTATTGTTCCCTACCCTATATGCTCCTCAGTCCTCGTCACTATATATATATATATATATTATATACAGACCTCGTCGTCTCGCGTATTATTTATCTGTAGGACCGTTGACAACATAAAGTGCTCAGCTATTTAACATACGGCTATACAGAACTATAGGAATAAAAAATATCGTTTATTTTTTTTCGATCGTATATAGGTACATAATATATGTGGTACGTCACAGTCAGGACGCGAGAACGCACTGTCCCATTCACCCGCGAGAGAACAACTGCACGGCGTGGGGAGCTAAAAGAACTCATCGTCCAATTCAAATTTGTGCATTGTTTATAATAATTTTTTTTTGTTTCCCACACACCCGTCCGCGTATACGCATAGATCAGTTTGGGCGTAAAAAAAAAAAATTATATTTCAGCTGCTTGCAGATTCTCTGCCTGCACCATAAATAGCCGTGTGGGTTTTTTTCCGGAGTTGAATTTTTTTTGTGTATATAAATATACAATATTGTGTACAGTGCAGTGTATGGGATCAAAATTATAATAATATGAATATACCTATGATAGGAATTTTTTTAGTAATTTTTTTCGTGTCCAGAATTAACGAATCCTTTCAATTAAACCGGATTTTACTTGCTATAATAATATCTACTACTGCACCTTTCAAACTCTGAACAGGAGTTTTCAAATAATACAYGTTATAATAATATATGAACACCACTTGATTTATTATATTATAAAGTAAATACCAAACCGGAAAGGGAAATTCTGTACACGCACCAAGAAACACACGCATGAAAACAATAAATATAAAATATTATTTCACGTTTAGGTACAGCTATACAAATACAATAAATATATTATAATTTATAACAATGATTTTTTTTCAAAACGAATCGAATTAAACCTTTGCTTGATGAAAACGTAATCAACATACACACAATAGGTATACCTACTTTACCAATGGTACCTACCTACAATATTCTGATCAATAAATTTGTTTTCACTTAGTAAATAAATCTACCTAGTTATTAATGAACAGAAATAGGTATAGGTATGTTGTTATTATTATGCATATTTAGTTATTGTCAGACACACATAACATACAATATAACAGGATTGGTAAGGCGTATATTGGTTATTTGCCAAACTACCTACCTATTACTTGATCGTCTGGTTGGTTGATGCACATATTTTCAAATTTCCATATAGTTTAATAGACATTTATTTAAATAATTTGCGTAATAAAATCCCCAGCTATAGCTCATAAGTGATATCTGTGTGAATAATGTATATAAGTAAACAAAACTGAATAATAATTAATTTAAAAAATCATTATAGATTTATATTTTTAAGAAAACTGTTATACTCATTTAGTCAATCATACTTAACATTTAATTATTAAACACATCTTATTTGATGAATATGTTGTATACTTGTACATATTATGTATCCTTATTAAATAAATTAAAGCATTAATACAACTTATATACATAGGCATTGTGGTCTATGAATTATATTAGTTATTTGCCAGGGTAAGCATGCAATTATAACTTATACATTTTAAGTAATTATTTAATG